ATCTACTATTCACACTACATCCCTACAAATCTAATCAATCTTCAAAAATGGGCCCAATATATTAAAATAACATTATTAATTATATTAAAATATTAAAAAGTACAAAAATCAAATAAAATTAAAAATATATATATACAAAAGCTGCCGCGGCAGCTTTTTCAGGGTTTGCAAATTTGCTTGCAGTGCAAATTTGCAAACCCATTTCATTAAAAAAAAAATAATAAAAAATGTATATGTGACTTTGCCACATCACTTTGCGAAGGAGAGTTTGGCTGGGATAAGGACAACCTTAGCTTCTAGAGTTGTAATCCTAAGAAATGGACCCCACCATCTTCAAAACCTTTGTGAAGGTTGGTGAGCTATTTACTGTGCAGAGCCTAGGTTGGTAGTCCAAGCTCAAATAAAGTCGGTTAAGCACTTAAGCTAACCCCCAGGACATGCCTAGAGTAAGATTTAAACACTAGTATGTTGACTGGACAAGGAGAGAAAGAAACTTTGGTATGAGGGTGATGATGAGGATGAGGATGATGCTAGAAATTAAAGGGAAGTAAGGACACCATTTTATAGTATGCTCCCCGGATTATAGAATGGAACGACTGATTGTCAAGACACAATCAGCCTTGTCCACCTACTTGTCCATCCAATATATTATGTCATGTGTCACTACGGCAATTTATATCCTACACCACAGCGCGCGTTGCACTGTGCGCCTAGATGCAAAACGACGTCGTTTTAATTTTTTTTTTTTTTTTTTTTGAAATTTCCCGCCCCAGTGTATGGCAGTTATTTTTTCTTAAAAAAAAACCCTGTTCAAAAATGTACATAATGTTATACTAGAATACACATAATTGTATACATGAATGTACATAATTATATAACAAAATATACATACTCTTTTTAAAAGATAATACACATAATCTAACATAATACATAATAAACATAAACTTTTAACATAATACACATAAACTATTAACATAATACACACAAATTTTCTGTTTCGGATGTACATAATTGTATAAAAAGAATGTACCTAATTGTATAAAAAATGTACATAACTGTATGAACAAATATACATAATTGTATAAACAAATATACATAATTGTGTGAACAAATATACATAATCACAGCAACTTCCTACCGCACCTCCCAAAACGACCCCAAAACAATGTCGTTTTGGGAAGCACGCAGCGCACAGTGCTACGCGCGCGTGGTGTAGGGTATAACGATTGGTGTCACTACCTAATCCCTTTTATTTCTAAGTATTTCTAAGGTGGATTAGCTAGTTGTGATCGCTTACTATACACTCCTTCACTTTTCACACAATTTCTTTACCACATAAGGGGCCATCCAAAGTTTTATTCAACCCTATATTCATAATTACATAACTCTACTGAATTATATATTCATAATTATAAACCTATATATTCATAATTTTTGAACTTTATATTCACAATTATTGAATCTTTATATTGATAATTACAAAACTATATGTTCATAATTATGTTCATAATTATAGAACTATATGTTCATAATTTTTTAACTATATATTCATAATTATGAACAGTTTTGGAACCGTGTCCACCTTGCAAGGTGGACACAGTTCCACAACATAATTTGCCCATCAGGAGGTGATTAAGGTATACGAATTAGAGAGGTGAAGCATTCTTGATTTAAGTCAATTTAAAGATTACATCTCCAACGGAACAAGTAAGTTTTATCTTTACTTCTGTTTAATTAAGAATTCATGATCATGAACATTGTTTAGTTGATTAATTAATTTACAAGCAGACTCTGATACCAAATGTTAAATAATTCTTTATGCGCTATAACTTGAATGCAGAAGCACAATTAACAATGAATTGCATGTAAATTAAATCAATCAACTAAACAATGTTCATGATTATGAATTTTTAATTAAACAGGAGTAAAGATAAAACTTACTTGTTCTTTAAATTGACTTAAATCAAGAATGTTTCACCTCTCTGATCCGTATACCTTATATCTTAATCACCTCCTGATGATGTGGAGACTATAAAACTTAGAGAGTTAAAACCGTAAAGATCCCTAGAGTTTTCATGGGTATTTATAGATGTGATGAGAAACCTCATTCAAGAGGAATGAGAAACTTCCTTTTAGGAATAGAAATCCCTTTAGGAATACGAAACCTCCTTTTAGGAAACCCATAACCTTTTTTCATTATACATCTTTTAACCCTCATAAACTTAAATTTTAACAGAATGAGAGGGAAGAAATTTCACCCATACTAGTAATTCCACATTTACACATCACCATGAGTACCTTATGGAATTACAACCTTTATTATATAAATCAATGTTAGCAAATAATCATTTCTAACCGTCTCTCACTTAATTCATATAAGTGTGACATCTTTATTATATGAATCAACGTTAAAATAAATTATTTCTAACAATAAGTTGCTTAGCTTCTAACGAATTTCCTATGAACGACAAAACAGACATGCTCTATATAGCTACATCAATTGCATAGATTCTAGCTAGGAATGCGTACTTCTCGTATAACTCTTCACAAATAACGTCATAATGATTTTATAGGAGAATAGACAAAATTGAAGGAAAAGGATAATATAAACTAGATGCTAGACCCAGACAATAAATAAATAAATAACAAAGTTGGCTCAACTAACAAGGATCCAAGCTCAAATATACACTACTGAAAATTATGGAATTTCCGACTACCTGAAAGTGATCTTAAATCAAGTTGATACCAAAAAGAGGTCAGAAATAGCAACAAAGGTTTTTCCAAATACCAAAAGTGATCAGAACAAGGCTTTTTGACTTGATTTAAGATCACTTTCAAGTGGTCGGAAATTCTATAATTTTCAGTGGTCGAAAATTTCATAATTTTCAGTAGTGAAAGTAGGTTAAGCTTTGACTCAGGGCCCACACCCTCACGACCTGCCTAGAGTAAGATTTGAACATGGTATGTTGACTGGACAAGGAGAGAAAGAAACTTTGGTATGAAGGTGATGAGGATGATGCTAGAGATTAAAGGGAAGTAAGGACGACACCATTTTATAGTATGCTCCCTGGATTATAGAACGGAACGAGTGATTGTCAAGACCTAATCAGTAATCAGTCTTGTCCATACCCACTTATCCATTCAATATATCATGTTATGTGTTATTACTGCCCGTATGGGTAGTTCAACTGGTCATAGATGTGAAACTTTGGAAGAATGACCAGGGATCAAGTCTCACCTCCAGCAACCTATCAAAGTGAGGTCACCATGATTTATATCCTTCTAAATGCTCTGTCGGGTCAGGTTGGGGTTCTTCCTTTGGAAGAATGTTATGTGTTACTACCTAGCCCCTTTTATTATATTTCTAAGTATTATGAATTGCTTCCACGTACTGACATAACATATAAGGTGGATTAGCTAGTTGTGATCGCTTACTATACATCCTTCACTTTTCACACCATTTCTTTACCACATAAGGGGCAAAAAAAAAGTAAGGATTATATATATCACACTCAGAGTCGCAGACACACACTCAGGCACATAAAAGAAATTTTTTAGTATTATAAAACAAAATAGTTACAAATAACTTCAATAGATTGAGAAAGTATGTATGAACAGGTACTATATTGTAACCGAGTCAATAATATTAAAAAAATAAAACAAAATAGCTATCCTTGAAAAGAAAATAATTAATACTAGATACATCCGTTAAATTTGCTACCCTCCTTATAAGTTTAACTTCTTTTTTTTTTTTTTTTTTCAATCGAAAGGAGAAGAGGAAAACCCCGACATGCTAGCACCGATAACAAACACGTTGCCTGGGCACACCCATAGAGTCATGAAGGAGCAGATCAAGAATCGTCGTCTCCAGTTGAGACATCATGCTCAAGCCCCGAGAAATGAAAATGAAAATGAAACCAGATGGATTTTTTTTTTTTTTTTTTTTTTTTAAATGTAACCAGAAGGATTAAACACCAATTCAAATTCTAATTGTTCTCTTTTCTTCTCCCCAAAAGGTTGAATCTCCAACCCCAACGACCCCATACTCCTGCCCGACAGAACATTTGGGAGGATGTAAATCACGGTGACTCAATGACTCAGCAAACAAAATCATATATATACTGTCTATTGAACAAGTAAGCTAAGCTCGTGCATGCAGCCCTAACTGACATCTTTTGTGAACCATATATACACTCGTTTAAAGTTATTTATCATCGTTAATTTGGAGTGTGGTTGAATAGAATGAACTCATCCATCCTTAATCAAACTTTAATAGTTCAATCCTTAAATGTGGGTACTTACAATTCAGTGATGTGATTAGTTATTGTATTTGATGGGGAAAATTAAACCTGGGGTACACTAAAAAAAATAGAAAAAAAGAATGAGTAGTTATTTATAATCATTAAATATGTTAGATGCACATTTCTAAAAAATAGAAGCAATCAATAGGCAATGAATTAGCTTGTCTACAAATTAAAGTAGTGCATGTGAAATATTAATTTACAGTGACGACACAATTCCATCCATCGATCAAGACCCTTAAATTTATTTATATCTCTAATGAAATGCTGCCTCTTCAACTCTTACATTATATTATTATATTCTCCCCATCTGGGCAGCTGAATAACATGGAGTGCTATGGCAAAAGAAGAACTCTCCATAGCTTCATGGATGAAGAGAAAAATTCCACACAATCATCATCTCCACCCCCTAATCATCACCATCTATCCTACAAATCCCTTCAAGAATTGTGCGAACCTGAAGAACAGCTTCAAATTAGCAGCCCTAATTCTTCAACCGCCGCCACTATGTATTCCCTGATCCCACCCCCAAGCCCAGAATCTCCCTGGACCCTTTCCCCCCTCCAAACCCCCTCCCCCTCCCTCCTCTTCCACTGCATCACCTCCCTCCACCGCCAAGACGGGATCATCCACTCCATCGCCATCTCCAATTCCAAAGGGCTGGTGTTCACGGGCTCCGAGAGCAGCCGGATTCGGGCGTGGCGCCAACCGGACTGCATGGAGCGAGGCTGTATCAAGGCCAGTTGCGGCGATGTGCGCGCGATGCTGGCGTATGGGAACACCCTTTTCACGTCCCATAGGGATCGTAAGGTCCGGGCGTGGAGCCTAGGGGGTAGTAGTCAAGAGAATTCCCATTTCCAGGCCAAGAAAATCGCCACCCTCCCTAAAAAAGCCTCACCGTTTTCTTCCATCTTCTCAAGATCCGCCACTACCTCGCTTCACAAGGACTGCGTTTCTTGCATGGCGTATTACCACGCGGGAGGGCTTCTCTACACGGGGTCGTGGGACAAGACGGTGAAGGTGTGGGCGGTGTCAAGTGGCCGTTGCGTGGACTCGTTTCTCGCGCACGAGGACAATGTGAACGGTGTCATGGTAAACCAAGACGACGGCTCCCTCTTCACCTGCTCCTCCGACGCCTCTGTTAAAATCTGGAGACGAGTGTACGGACAAAGCTCCCACACTCTCACCATGACCCTAAAGTTCCAACCCTCCCCGGTTAACGCACTAGCCCTAACCACTTCTTCTTCATCGTGCTTCCTCTACTCGGGATCCTCGGATGGGTTCATTAATTTCTGGGAAAAGGAGAAGATGTCTGGGCGGTTTAACCACGGGGGGTTCTTGCAGGGCCATAGATTCGCCGTCCTCTGTTTGGCTGCGATTGAGAAGCTGGTGTTCAGTGGCTCCGAGGACACCACCATTAGGGTGTGGAGAAGAGAAGAAGGGAGCTACTTCCATGAGTGCCTTGCCGTGATAGATGCCCACAGGGGCCCGGTGAAATGCTTGGCTGTTTCGTTGGAGATTATTGAGAAATATGTGATGGGATTCTTGGTTCACAGTGCAAGCTTGGATCAAACGTTTAAGGTTTGGAGAATTAAGGTTTTGCCCGAGGAGAAGAGATCAAGAGGTTGCTTAGAGGATAATAATAATAATAATAATAATAATAATAATAATAATAATGAACAAGCTGCTGCAGTTGACTCGAAAACGAAGATGGAGTTTCAACATAGTCCTGTTTTGTCTCCTTCATGGGTAGAGAAGAAAAAGCTTCAAGATGTTCATCCCCTTCATCATTGATAAAGTAAAATAATGTAGGAAATTAATTAGTGTCATAATATTTTGTATTTGTTAAATTTATATCCTAAGTGAAGTGATGATATCAAATGATACAAATAATATTATATTATTATTAAAACTAGATTTGAGTCCTATTGTTCGATCTGTATGTAGTTAAGATTTAACCAAAATATTGAATTCCTTGTACTCATTATTTAAATGCAAGTTGTTGAGTTGTTAAGTTGTTATTAACTGTATTTTTCCCAATGTGTATTTAATACACAATAAATGTCATATTATTCAAGCACTCGTAGTTAGTTGTTCAAAACAATTACTGCGTACATTTGTAGTTACACAGGTACAAAGTTGGTATACTCTTTATAAGTTACTCAACAATAAAGATAAATTTGTTTCCACTTTATTGCAAGAGGGTGGTGGTTCGATTCCTACCGCGAACATTGGCGGTTTAGGTTTGAGTTTGATTTTTTTTTTTTCCTTTTTTTTCTTTTTGAAGGCTACTGACTCTATTACAATGTAGTATCTGTTCATAACTACTTTCTCAACCTACTGAAGCACAAAGAGTTAATACTGCCTGCACTGAGGCTTGAACCCACAACCTCCCATATGAGTTTGATTCCTTGTAGACAGAAGTTTACAATTTGGTGTTGAGTTTCGAAACTAGATTGACTCGATATACCAACTCATGGATCTGCTATGCATGGGTTCATGGGGCCCATGATATAGTCCATCACAACCGGAAAACCTTTGTTATCAGAGCATGGGGAAAAATGCTAGCTCAACCATCTTCTCCATAACCATCTCCCCCCTTTTTTCCCTAATATATATACACTGTTGTTTGTTCCTTCTTCTTCATCTGAACAAATTCAAGGAATTTTCTATAATCGTCCTGTGTTAAAGAGATCCAACCTTCATTCAAAGCAAGTTACATTGGTGTGTAGTGGATTGAACTTGATTTGCTGCTCCTTGACTTCTAGACCTAGGCTCCCAACTCGGTGGATAACCATTATTCTTGTAACACTTTTCTACAGTATGTCTAGTATAGCCATAGTACGTACACACTGGCTTCTTATTGTTTCCTGGAAACGATTTCCTTGAATTGCCTTCAGCTTTAGTAAAAAAAAAAAATTTCCTCCTACACTTTCATTTGGCCGAATAAGATGATTTCCAGCATTGTTGGTTATAATTTGAAACTGCCTTTCTTGTTGTGATATCAATGATAATGCATCTGTTACATTTGGTAGCGGCTTCATGAGCATAATCTGGGTTTTCGCGCCAGTGTACCTCTAATGGAAACCAATTAAAAACACAGCCAACATTTCATTATCTAAGTTTGTATTCACCTTTCTTGTTATTCACTCACAACAAACACATTTAGGATTGCATTCACAGACAAGCAGAGGCCTAAGAATAATCAATTCATCCCACCGTAATTTAAGTTCTGTAAAATACTCATTCACAGAGCTCTCACCTTATTGAAGCAGTAGTACGTTGACTTTTTCTTAGCGTTGTTATTTTTTGAATTTATTTTTTTCATTATTCTTTTTTCCCGGTTGGTTAGCTAGGAATGTGGGCATGCATGTGCATGGTTGTTATTTTTCTTTGTATTTATATCCCTTTGGATTGCAGTGTATGGTGTGAGATAATCTACCATTTCAAGTTTTCTTCTCTTCCGATGTTCAAAATTTATTATGGTAATAGAGCAAAATTATTATTTTTTTTCTCTCCCTTATGGTTGAGAATCAAGTTCAAGAGGCTACACCAGCCTCTGACGTAAATTTTGATGCAACAAATATTGCAAGTCTGTGTTATATTCATTCTGGCAAAAATCTTTCTTTGTTGTTGGTTACCGTTCCTTTGGATGGAACGAACTATCACACTTGGAGCATGACAATGAAGATGGCTCTGCTTTCCAAGAATAAGCTCGATTTTGTAGATGGCTCGATCGCGGCTCCAGAAAAGAACAAACACCAATTATATAACCTGGCAATGGGCGAATAAAATGGTGTTATCCTAGCTATTGCATTCTGTGATACCTGTTATGCCCAAAGCATTCTATGGTTAGACAATGCAAAAGAGGTATGGGATGAGTTAAAGGAACGCTTTTGCCAGAAAGATGTGTTTCACACTTCAGATGTCCAAGCGAAGATCTATAGTATTAAGCAAGGAGATCTTTCAGTAAGTGCTTACTTTACGAAATTTAAATTGTTGTGGGACGGGCTTTTAAGTTTGAAGCCATAACCTACATGCACTTATACAGTTATACCCCAAGATGCAAGTGTGGATGTTTAGACCGGATCAAAGAACATCATCAAATGGAGTAAGTAACCACTTGTTTGAGAGGTTTAAGTGAGAATTATGTAGGTGTAAAGTCACAAATAATGCTTATGACAACACTGCCTATGGTGGGGAATGCTTGTTCTCTTGTGCAACAACAGGAACGTTAAATTTTCCATGGTAGTCATAGTGCATTGGTTCTAACCAATGGAGAAATAGTCCAAAGTGCTTTTCATGCAAGGATTACTCAAGCTGGAAATATAAATATGAGGGCTAGCACGACACAACGAAAAATTGGTAATTCTAATAAAAAAGCCTATTTGCAGTTTTTGTGGGTTTACAGGGCATACCGTTGACAAATGCTACAAGTTGCATGGTTACCCTCCGGGCTGGAAAAGCAAGAATAATAAGCAAAGTGGCGTAAACAGTTCTACTCATAAATTAGCAAATTTAGTTGCAGAAAATTCTATGTCTGTAACAAATGTTTCTTGTCAAGATATTTCAAGTCTTATAAATCAGCCGAATACACCACTAGATGACAAGCTTCCCTCTACAGCGGCTGCTGGAGATATCAATAGGCGAGCCAATGCTTCCTTCACATCTTTCAAACCCAATGTTCAAGATGGTAAGCATTTTGTTTATTGTCAGCCGCTTACTTGGATTATTGATACAGGTGCCACGGACCACATTGTGAATAACGTTACATATTTTTTGGATCCAAATGAGGTGCAAGAAATCTATGTCATGTTGCCAGATGGAAATCATGCCATGGTTACTCATGTTGGTTGTGTGCGGTTATCTATGAATATTATTTTACAAGACGTATTGTGTGCCCTAGTTTGAATTTAACTTAATTTTTGTAAGTAAGTTTACTAAGAACATGGGTTTCTATTTGGTGTTTCATGCTAATGGATGTGAAATTCAGGCTGGCAGGGACCAGAAGATGATTTGTTTAGTTGAGGAACAACATGGGTTGTATCGTTTCCTAATGCCTGATGATGAGCCATGTCCCAATCAATCATTATTTAATGTTGCTATAAATGTTGTTTTTGACTTGAATCTTTGGAATTTTAGATTGGGCCATGCATCTTTTCGCAGAATAATGGGATTGCAAAGTTTAGATAGTTCAATAAACTGTTCTCCAAATTTAGTTTGTGAAATTTGTCATTATGTCAAACAACGACATTTAGCATTTCCTACTAGTGTGACATCAACTGAGAGGGGTTTCGATATTATTCATGTTGATATTTGGGGACCATATAACATTCCCTCATTATATGGCCATCATTATTTTTGAACTATGGTTGACGACTTTAGTAGGGCTACCTAGGTGTTTTTCATGTGCACAAAGAAGGAGACTCAATAATTGTTAGAAAAATTCTGTCAATTTGTCTCTAAACAATTTGATGATAATATAAAGTGCATTCGTTCAGATAACGGGTCAGTATTTAAAATGAGAGAAGTTTATGAATCGCGAGGTATTGCACATCAGAGATCTTGTGTAGGTACTCCACATCAGAATAGTGTAGTAGAACACAAGCATCAACACATTTTGACTGTGGCTCGGGCTTTGAGATTTCAGGCATGTTTGCCGGAAGATTTTGGGCTGATTGTGTTGCGCATGCTGTCTACCTTCTTAATAGGTTGCCTTCACCAGTCATCAAGAATAGAACGCCATATTAAGTTCTCTTTCATAAAACACCCATATATTCTACACTAAAAATGTTTGGTTGTTTGGCTTATGCCAGTACGTTGGTCTTAGGCCGTACGAAATTTTCTCCTTGTGCAAGAAAGTGTATTTTTATTGGGTTTCAAAAAGGCATGAAGGGATACAAGTTGTATCATTTAACAAAGAAGAAGTTTTTGTCTCGAGGAATGTTTTATTTCACGAGTTTATTTTTCCTTTTGTAGAGAAAACAAAAATCAAAACACTATTTCACAGCTTCCTCTTCCAAATAAAATTGTAGACCTTGGGGAGAACACAAGTATTTCATTTGCAGGAGACACACCTGTCCAAACCACTACTCAACTTCATGGTTTAGTGAAAGGTGGTATTGAAGAAACTAGTATGGGTGGCGCCATTTCCTCCTCACCTGACAATACTCATTCCCTTGGCAATTCTTCATCACTTGGACGCAATTATTCTCTATCCCCTGAATGCCAACAGCTTGGTGATCATTTTGGTGTTGAAACTTTCCTCCTTCATACACGAGTTCCAACGAGCAAGATGATAGGCTTCCCTATGATTCTAGTTCTCCAGCTCATGATGCAGAGCCAGCTCATGATGAGGGATCCTTGTGTTCAGATGATAGTCAAAGCCTGGTACAACCACATAATACAAAAGTTGTTCCAACACTCTGGCGTTTTACTCGTCACCGAGTGCCACCATCTTTTTTGAAGGATTATCATTGTAACTTAAAATATGGCTGCTCTTCTAGCTCATGTGTACAGGCACAGGGTACACCACATTGAATTTCCAAGGTGGTTGCTTATGACCGTCTTACAAGTTCCCATAAGAATTTTGTTTTGGCCTCATCTTGTGTCATTGAGCCTACAAGTTATACTGAAGCCGTGAAGCATGAATGTCGGCGTGAGGCTATGCGTGCTGAATTAAATGCTCTTGACATTAACAAAACATGGGTCCTAACAGACTTGCCCCCTACAAAATAGTCCATTGGTTGTAAATTGGTTTACAAGGTGAAACTCCGTGCAGACACAAGGCCAGGTTA